CAGGTCCAGCTCCTGCACCAGGCGCCGCTCCCGCCAGTCCCACACGTTGATGTGCCGCCCGTAGTGCCCTGGAAAGGGGAGATATTCCCTAAATTCCTGTTTTCTATGGAGTAGTCAGCGGTTCGGAGTGAAACTGGGGGTAAAAGTGGGATTGAAAAAAATTGGGATTTTTCCAGGGGTTTCAGAAGTGGGAAATTGAATTTCTGAGGAGTTTTTAAGGTCAAAATTTGCATTTTTTGTTAAGACTTTGCACACAAAAATTGGATTTTTTCAGAGTTTTTTTGACTCTCGAAAATTGGATTTTTTAAGAGTTTCTGCTCTCAAAAATGGAATTTCCCAGATTTCCTACTGACCTTTCTCCACATCCTTGGGATTGAATCCCTGGGCCAGGACCCTGGGGACACCCCACTCGGTGCTGAGCAGGACGTTGTGCCGGGGCTGGTACCAGAAGTCATAGCCCAGATTTGGGACTTTTCCTCCATTTTCCCAATTTCCTTTCACTTCAAAGGTTTCTCCATCCAGGAGGACGAAAGTGCCTGGAAAAAAATTCCCAAAAAAAGGAGTTCAGAGTGATTTACAGAGCTTGAAATAAAGCAATTTAAAAAAAACTACACTTATTATTATTATTATTATTATTATTATTATTATTATTAATAATAATAATAATAATAATAATTTCTAAAATTATTTCACATTATTTTATTATTGGTAATAAAAACAATTTCCTAGGATTTTATATTTTCCTATAATAATTCCTAAAATTATTTTGCTTTAAATAAAGCAAATTATTTATGTATATCTACTTCCATTTTTAAATTAAATGAAACACAAAAGCAGTCTAGGAAATCAATGAAAAACCTGCAGGAATGTGCTAAAGATTCCAGGAAGATTCCACGTCTTCAATGGATTTTGCAGGATTTTGCACGGAAATGAATCCCTGCGGATGTTTTTATGGAATCTGCAGGAATTCCGAACCTTTTCCGTTGCCATCAGGATCCCCCAGGCAGCTGATGAGGATTTCCCCGGAGCCCAGGCAGTGGGAAGTGTGCGGGAACGCGGCGTTGGCCTTGCGGGCCAGCTCCTCGGCTTCCACCACCTGGAACGGGGGAAAATGGGGAAAATTCCAAGAAAAATGGGGAAGATTCCTCAGCTTCCACCATCTGGAATGGGGAATATTCTGGGAAAAATGGGGAAAGTTCTTGGAAATGAGATGGCGGGGGGGTAAATGGGGATTTGCGGTCAAAGGTTTGTGGGAATGTTTGAAGGGAAAAGGGGGAAAAAATGGGAAAAAGAGAAAAAAATGGGAAGAAAGGGGAAAATCGGGGAATAAATAAATCAGGGAATAAAGGAAGAAATTGGCATAAAAGGATGAGAAAAGGGAAAAATCAGTGGGAAAAAGCAGGGAAAAAGGGGGGAATTCCAAACCTTGTGGAGCTTGGGAGCCCTGGGATCGGTGGCCACGTCCACGACGTAGACGCGGGAGGAGACGAGGCTGGGCAGGATCAGGAACCGCCGGGACTTGCCGGGGTCCCCGTGGCAGCTGCTGCAGGCGTTCCAGCCCGAGTGGTGCAGCTCGTCCCCCACGTGCGGCATGGGCAGCCGGTGGATCACCTGTGGGACATCACATCACCTGTGGAACATCACTTGTGGAACATCACTGTGAAATATCACCTGGGAAACACCACTGTGAAATATCACCTGTGGAACATCACCTGGGAAATATCCCCTGTGGAACAACACCTGTGGAACATCACTGTGAAATATCACCTGTGGAACATCACCTGTGGAACATCACCTGTGNATACCCGGCCAATACCCAGCCCATAGGCCGTTATTGATCATTATGTCTCACTTGAGCAGGCCGGGGTAGAACTGCCGGTCCCAGGCGCTGAACAGCGATGTTGTCACGTAGAGCCGGCGCCCGTCCAGGCTGAGCTGCAGCATCTGCGGCCCCCCCGGGATCCGCTTCCCCTGAATTGGGAAAAACCATCCAGGGGCTCCGAAATCCCGGAGTTGGCAACGGCCAGGCCCCAGATTTGGGGAGAAAATGGAATTTTAGGGGAAAAACCATCCAGGGGCTCTGAAATCCCAGACTCAGGAATGGCCAGCTCTGGGGAGAATTTTTTTCCCCTAATTTCTTAATTCCACGATTTTTTTCTGAGGGAAAATTGGGATTTCTGGGATGAAATTCATCCCTGAGGAAGCAAAATCCAGGTCGGAACAACCTCAGGAGGGGTTATGGATGTCGGGAATTTCCAAAAATCCAGGAAGAATCGGGCAAAAAAATTTGGGATTCTTCACCTGGACCACGCACGGCTCTGGCTGATCCTGCAATTCCCGATCCTCCACTACGGTCACAGCTCCTCCTTTGGAGATGCTGCCTCCCAGAAAAACCTGGAAAACCGTTAAAATCCATGGAAAATCTGAATGAATCCCTTCAAAACCGAGGGAATTTGGTTTTTTTGGAATTTCCTCCTCACCTGCCCCACCAGTTTGGGGTTTTTGGGATCGGAGATGTCGTACTGACGCACGTCCCCGTGCAGCCAGTTGCTGAAGTACAGGAATCTGTCGTCCAGGGAAATCAGGATATCCGTGATCAGCCCTTCCCAAAGAATTCCAGAGGAAAATCAGGGAATGGGAGCAAAGAGAATCCCCAAAATCCCCAAATTCCCACGTGGAAACGCCAAAAAATGGGGTTGGGAAGGAGTTGGATTATTCCAGAATCCCTGAGGAAATCCAGACTCAAATTCCAAGGATTTTCCTGGAAAATCCCACCCCCAGCACAGAGCAAATCCCACTCCGGGGTTCCTTTGCTCATCCCAAAATTCTTCCTCAAAAAAAACCCTCCAATATTTGGAATTTTTTGCCATTTAAGGATAGAATCGCGCCAAAATCCGCTCTTGATCCATGAGAAAATTCCCAAATTTCTCCCACTGACCTGGCATCTCCGGGAGGAGCCATCCCTGGACTTTCTTGCTGGGCACCTCAATCACCTTCTCCGCTTCCCATTTTCCTTCCTGAGAATGGAAAACATCGAATTAATTCCCAAAATTCATGGAATATCCACGCCACCCCACAATCCCACAGTGATAAAACCTGAGAGTTCCCTAAAACTCCTGGAATTCCATGGAAAAACCCAGGAATTCCATGGAAAAGCCCTTCAAACCCTCTGGAATTTCATGAAAAACCCCACAATTCCCAGCGGATTTTCTCCAAAAACCCAGGAATTCCACGGAAAAAGGCCCGATTCTCTGACATCTCCCCCAAATCCCCGAGCTCACGGGGTTCCTGTAGAATCTCCGGATGTCCCCGCTGAGGGCACAGCCCACGAAGCCCTGGGCGGCGCTGGGATC